GGAGGTCGGCGTTCCCTTACCTGCGGCACCACCCAACCCGGCAGCGGTGCGCGGTTTCGCCCCGCTGCGCGGGACGGTGCCGACCTGGAGGTCGGCGTTCCCTGGCCTACTCCGCGGTTAGCGCCCGGAGGCCCGCTCCGCTGATTCCGGCCCCGCTGAGCACCAGCGCGACAGAGGCGAGGCTCGGATCCAGGTGGGCGAGGGCCGCGACCGGCAGCGCCGCCGAACCTTCCACCAGCGCGAACCGTTCCTGGAGGACCAGCCGCATGGCGGCGGCGATTTCGTCCTCGCCAAGCAGAACCCAGTCGTCCACGAGCTCGCTGCACAGCCCGAGGGTGACGGCGCCCGTTTCGACCCCGCCCGCGACGGCATCGGCGAGGGTCGGCTCGAACGGGACATCGCGTCCTGATTCGAGGAGCCGGCCGGCCCGTACCGACGCCGCCATCACCGCCGATGCGCGCGGCTGGCATCCGACCACGCGAATCCCCGGACGGGCGTGTTTGAGCCAAGCGGCGATTCCGGCGATCAGGCCGCCTCCACCCACCGCCACCAGTACCGCGTCGAGCGGTTCTTCACCGAGCGCGGCGTCCATCTCGAAACCGACCGTTCCCTGCCCCGCGATGATGTCCGGATCGTTGTAGGGGGAAATGAACGGCAGCCCGCTGCGCGCCGCCTCTTCCCGGGCGGCAACCTCGGACTCCACCGCGTCGTCGCCCACGAGGCGCAGTTCGACCACTTCGCCGTACTGCTCGGCGAGGACCCGCCTCTTCGAGTCGGCCACCGTGCGGGGGAGGTACACGACACCCCGCCCGCCGAGCAGCGAGAGCGCGTGAGCCGTCGCCCGCCCGTGATTCCCCGTGGACGCCGTGACGACTCCCTCGCCGAGCACGCGTGGGCCTCCGGTGTCCCGCAGGACCAACAACTTGTTCAGCGCGCCTCGGATCTTGAACGAGCCCGTAGCGCCAAAGCATTCGAGCTTCCAACGAACCGTCCCTCCCCCCGCTGAGTCGGCACGGCGGCGGCCGAGGCCGTTCGCGATCTCGAACGGAGTCTCGATGAGAAAGGGCCGGATCCTGGATGCGGCTTCCCGCACCCGGTCCGGCAATTGGTGGAGCAATCCGCCGTCCGGCCGTGGGCGTCCCCGGGCGGCCCCGCTCGGCTAGCATTCGCGCCTTCGGAAGCCTTGAAACAGGCGTAGTCACGTAAGGAGCCAGAGTTTAATGAGCCAAGGAATTCAAGCTGTCCCCCGACCGGGCAACGAGTCGGTACGGGGCTATGAGGCATCAAGCCCGGAGCGCGCCGCGCTCCAGGCCGAGATCACCCGCCAGTCCAACCAGATCGTCGAAATCCCGATCATCGTCGGCGGCAAGGAAATCCGGACGGGGAAGCTCGCGGAAGTCCGTTGTCCGCATGACCACTCTCACGTTCTCGCCCGCTATCACGAGGCCACCCCGGAAATCGTGGACCAGGCAGTGGCCGCGGCCGCCGACGCCTGGCACACCTGGTCCGAGCTCGACTACCGGGCACGCGCCAGCCTCTACCTGCGAATGGCCGACCTGCTGGTCGGCCCCCGCCGTTACCGGATGAACGCCGCCACCATGCTGGGCCAGTCGAAGACCTGCCATCAGGCGGAGATCGAAGCGGCCTGCGAATTCGCGGACATGCTGCGGTTCAACGCCTACTTCCTCGACCAGCTCGTCCGGCAGCAGCCGGTGGGCGAGGCCGACCCCGGCGTCTGGAACTACCTCGAGTATCGCGCCCTCGAGGGATTCATCTTCGCGGTGAGCCCTTTCAACTTCACCGCCCTCGGCGGGAACCTGGCGATGGCTCCGGCGATCATGGGGAACACCATCGTCTGGAAGCCCGCGGAGACCCAGATGCTCTCGGCGTACTACCTGATGGAGCTCTACAAGGAAGCCGGCTTGCCCGACGGCGTCGTGAACATGCTCCCCGGCCACGGGCCCACCATCGGCACCCGGGCCCTGGCCCAGGAAACCCTCGCCGGCGTTCATTTCACGGGCTCCACAGCCACTTTCCAGCACATCTGGAAGACGGTCGGCGAAAACATCGCGAACTACCGTTCCTACCCCCGGGTCGTCGGCGAGACCGGCGGCAAGAACTTCGTGGTGGCCCACGAGTCCGCCGATGCGGAGGCGCTGGTCGCCAACTTGATTCGGGGCGCTTACGAGTTCCAGGGACAAAAGTGCTCGGCGGCCTCCCGCGCCTACCTGCCGGCCAGCATGAAGGACGCGTTCCTGGAGCGGTACCTCGCCGAGGCGGACACCGTGACCATGGGCGACCCCACCGATTTCGCCAACTTCATGGGAGCGGTGATCGACGAACGCTCCTTCCGGAAGATTTCGGGCTACCTCGACAGCGCCCGAGAGGATCCGTCGTGCACCGTGATGCTGGGCGGGAACGCCGACCGGTCCGTCGGCTGGTTCGTGGAACCCACGCTGGTGGTCACGGACAACCCGCAGAATCGGCTGATGACCGAGGAAATCTTCGGGCCGGTACTGACGGTCTACTTCTATCCGGACGCCCAGTACGCCGAGACCCTCGACCTGTGCCGGAACACGTCCCCGTACGGTCTGACCGGCGCGATCTTCGCGAACGACCGGTTGGCCACGGAACAGGCGTACCGGGCGCTTCGTCACGCTGCCGGCAACTTCTACATCAACGACAAACCCACCGGCGCCGTGATCGGCCAGCAGCCTTTTGGCGGAGGCCGGGCCTCGGGGACGAACGACAAGACGGGCCTCGGTTCCCACCTTCTCCGCTGGACCAATATCCGCACGGTCAAGGAGAATTTCGCTCCGGCGAAGGACTACCGCTACCCGTTCCTGAGCGCCTAGCAGCCTGTGGCGAAACCCAAGCGGCGTTCGAGCGGCGATGCATCCCGGCTGAACCGCGTCGCTTCGCGCCGCTCTTCGTTGCGTTTCGGTCGGAATACACGCGGTATTCCTCCCTCACGCGCCTTGTCAGCCGGGCGCCTCGCCGCTCTCGGCGCTCACCCGGGTTCCACCACAGGCTGCTAGGGCGTACTCGCTTGAGCAGCTCCGACAGCCACCAGCGTCCGTTGGTCCTTGCCGGACTCGCGCTCGCGGTCGGCTGGGGCTGCGCGGCCCCGGAGCCGGACCCCGTTCCGGATGCGCAGGTCGAAACGCCCGCTGCGAGCTCGCAACCCGGCGCCTCGCTGCGGATCTACGCTCCGGAGCAGCACGATCTCTACGACGGACGTTTCGTCCTGTCGGGCAGCCGCATCTTCCAGACGGGCACGTTGGACGACGAGAGCCCCTGGGACCACATGGGCGACGACGCCTCGAACCTCCGCGAGGTGGGCGGGACCATCGAGGTCGCGGTCAACGAGATCGAAAACACCGGAACGTTCCGGGCCGAACTCGAACTGCCGGAAGGGACCTACGTGGTCACCCTCGAGGAAATCGTGGAGTTCGATCCGTGCCAGGACGGCGGGATCGCCGCTTTCCTCTATGAGCACGGCGACGCCGGCTGCGGCGACGCCAACTGGCCGAAGAGCCTGCTCTACATCGCCGGATGGGGCACCGGGTCGGCGACCCTGAACGGAGACCTCCTCTACGAGGACTACCAGATCCACTTCATGGTGACGCAGGGCATGCGCGACCGCGAGACGCTGGCGGTTCTTCCGAAGGCGGGCGATTCGCCGGCCGGCGCGGTGAATCCCGCCGCCCAGCAACTGGACTTCTATATCCGCAGTCCCGAGCGGAACGAGGCAAACCACCCCGGCCGGCAGGTGTTCGATCATTTCTTCGCGATGGAAGTGACCTGGAAGTAGGGGGGCGCGGCGGCGCCGGGGTTAGCATCCCGGAATCCGTAGTTCGGGGGGGGCTGGCCATGACCAACGACAAGCTCCAGGAAGCAAGGAGCCTGATCGGGGATCTTCTGCACTCCACCTTCCCGAACACGCACTTCGTCGAGATCCAGGTCCACCCCGATCTCGATCATGAGGGCGACGAAGTCCTGCGGGTGGACGCGTTCTACCGCGGCTGAGGAGGATATGATCCCCGCGACGGACGTGGCCCTCCTCCCGGAGATGTGGGACCGGCTCCGCGCCATCGGGATCAACGCGTTCCCGATCCACAGGTTTCGGGACATCGATGAGAGGCCCTATCGTGGCTCCTCGTGACGAACTCGGCAGCGCCGACCTGATTACGGTAGCGCTTGATTTGCTCGAAGCGGCCGACCGGAAGGAGAACAGCGCACATCTGCGCCGTTCCCTGAGCACCGCGTATTACGCCATGTTTCATTGCCTTGCGCGGGTGACGGCGGACCGCTTGATCGGGCTCGCGGGTACGCCGAGAGAGAAGCGGCCTGGCTGCATGTTTATCGCGCGCTGCAACACCAGCCACGCAAGGAAGCAGTGTCTGGACTCGCGCGCGATGGCGACCCACCCAACGGCCGTGCGGTATTTCGCGCCCAGTTCGCGGCGCTCCAGGACCATCGGCATCAGGCTGATTACAACCCGCGACCGAGTTCGAACCGGCCGAGTGTGCGCAAGACGTCGAGTCAGGGCCGAGCCGTCCGCCTTTTAGAGGGGGGCGTCCCAGCCGATCAGGACCGTCTTCGCCACCTGTGTAGCTGCTCGCGCGGCGATCCTGACAACACCGCGCGGCGGCAGCAGACTGTCGTCCCCTATGATCGCCGCCCATGCGGCGCGATTCTTCCTGTTCACCGCGGCGCTCCTCAGCGCGTGCGCCGCCCACGCCCAACGCCGGAGCGGCCGACAGCATCCCGGCGACCGGCATGAACTCGCGGACCGCTACCGCGAGACCGCCGGGCAGATTCTCGGGGCGGCGCTCACCGACTGGGACGGCTGGGCGAAGCTGGAGCACTGGCCCTCGGTATCGGCCACACGGCTGAGCGGGGTCCGCCGGGCGTCGAACGCGCCATCCCAGTGGGCGGCGGACACCATGCGGGAAGAAGAACTAGACCGGGTCCACTGCAGGAGGTCATGGTCCCATCACTGGGTCCGGGGCCGGGCGCGGGCGACGCTGATCGCACCGTCGGAGGATGACCTCCCGATCCTCGCGCTGGGAGGCAGCGTGGGCACGCCGCCGGAGGGCATCACCGCCCCGGTGGTGGTCGCCCGCTCCTCGGACGAACTGGCGGCCATGCCGCGGGAGCGGGTCGAGGGCCGGATCGTCGTCGTGGGCCGTTCCCTGGATGGGTGGTACGGCGAACCGGCGACCTACGGCGCATGGGAGCGATTCGCGCCGCGCAGCAGGGCGCGGTGGCGAGCCATCACCCAGCTCGGCGACGGGAAGACGTCTCAACACGCAGCAGAAAACCGCAACATGGGCTACGAGAAGGGAGCGCACCGGATTCCGGCGGCGGCGCTGACCGTCGAGGACGCGAACGGTCCCTCCGCGGCTCGCTGACCTCGGCAGTCCATCGATGATCCGTCTGGAACTCGAGGCCGAGACGCTTCCCGACGCGCATCTTTCTCCTCACAACGTGATGGCCGAGATCACCGGTAGCGAATTGCCCGACGATGGGTCGTGGTGAGGGCGGCCACTCGACTCGTGGACGGCGGCACGGGTGCACGACCAAAAACAAAAACCCGATGGTGGCCGCCAGCCTCGCGGCCGTGGCACGGACTCACACTCATCCGGCGGCTCGGACTGCGGCCGCGCCAGCACGCTCGGGTCGTCTTTGGACGAATGAGGAACGGCGGCGCCGGTGGACCGCCTAGCGGAGTCGTCGGGGGCGGGAGATCGGAACAGGGGAGGCGGCCATCGAGATGGACGGCGGCGCCGAGCGGCCGGTGGGTTCGGCATCGGACTTCCCTGGGTGGCGACGGGCCGGAGGGCGATGCGGCGTATGCCGATGCGCTCGCCATCCTGCGGCCCATCGGGAGCTCTCTCGCGATCGACGCCGATGGAATGAGCGGGGCGGCGGCGGCGCCGACATCCGCGCCTGATGGCCGACGGGTCTCCCAGTGATCGGCGTTCCGCCCGGTGGGCGACCACTAAGTTTCGACTGGCCACCACACCGAGTCGGACACCATCGACAAGGTGGATCCGACAACATTCCGCCGCGCGTCGGGATGCTGCGGTTCTCGGGTTCGTTTCGTGCTCGCGACATGCCCGACGCCTCCCCCACGGGGGGTGGTGGAGTTGACGATTCGCGTGAGTCCCGCCGCGGCACTGAAACCGAACCCCTCCCTCCAAACCGAGGCGTCACGAAACCCGTCACATGGGAGTGCCACGTCCGGTTCGGCCGGTTGTCGAGGGTTCCACTCGGGGAAGAGCAACGGACCGGCAGCTTGCCGCTCTTGGCGTAGCTATGCCTCGTTTCCGGCGGGCTGCTCGTCCTGCGCGGAGAAAGAGGCGCTCTGCACGCAGGATTTCCTTCCTTTTTCCTCCGATTCTGCCGGGCGTCGGGCCGCTGGAGAAAACGAAAAGTACGACACCCGACTTCCTGCTTCCCGGATATCCGGAGATCCTCCGGCTCGGGAACCTCCACCGGACGGAAATACCGGGCGCTCTTCGTCCGCGCCGAACGCGTGGAAGTGCTCTGGCACACCGACGACAGCTTTCGCTGTCCGCAGCCGCGGGCTCGATCTTCCACTGCCGTACCCATCCCGAAACCGGGGTGGGACTGTACGCGGAATGGCGCACGCCTACGAGGCCCTGCCCTCCCGCCTCCGCAAGCGGATCGACGGCGTCGGTTCGCCGTCCACTCCTACCCGTTTCTCGACGACCAGCTCCGACGGACCAACCCGCACCGGCGGGAGATTGCCGATGGAAGTGCGGTGGGCACACGTGGGGTGTCCGTCCGCTGGTCGTTCACCATCCGGAAACCGGGCGTCCGGCGCTGCTGATCCCCGACTGCCACATCGAGTCCGTCAGCGGGCATCGAGGAATCGGAAACCCGGTCGCTCCTGGCCGAACTCCAGCGCATGCTGACCAGCCCGCAGTTCGCCGTGTGCTGGCAGTGGCGGGCCCCGCGATGTTGCCGTCTGGGACAAATCGCTCGCGATGCACGCCGGATCCCCGTTCGACGAAACCGAGGCCCGGCTGATGTACCGGGTGACGTTCACCGGCCGGATACCTACGAATGCGAGGGTGATGCCGGAGACTTTCAACTCTCGCGGCGGCGCTGCAGCGATCACTGCTCCTGCCGAGGAGAACGAATTACCTGCAAATTCGTCCTTGACGCGAACGGATTTACAGCATTCTCGACACATGGCCGGGGGTACGACAGACAGTTGCGGGGCACTTCGTGATCAGACGGGCGGGGCGCATCCGGTGTTGGGGAGGGAGCGGTCGTCACGTTGGCAGGGCGCAGTGTCATCGGCGCTGGTTTCGCGCTCCCGCGCGATGGCCGGTCGGAGCCGGCCCAGTTCCTCCCGGTGGGGGCTCCAAGCCGTCCCCGCGCTTCTTCTCGCAGTTGGCGCTGGCGGCGATCTCGCTGCGCTCGGCGCAGCGGTGCCGACCTGGAGGTCGGCGGTCCCGACATTCCCGCCTTCCGGCGTGCTCGTCCCACGCCCGGAATGCGGAAACTTCGCCGATGCGCCTCTCTGTCCTGTGGTCTTTCCCTGCTATCGGAGCCTCGGCCTTTGCCGCGAGGCCGCTTCGACGCCCTCCGCTGGCGGCACATCGGCCCGGTCGGGAACCGTGTTCCGGCGGTCTACGGAGTTGTGGGAGACCCGAACACCTACTACTTCGGCGCGGCCTCCGCGGGGTGTTCAAGACACCGACGGCGGAATCACTGGGCTTCCGGTCTTCGACGACCAACCGTGCTCTCGGTGGGGCGATCGCGGTGATCCACACGCCGATCCGAACGTCGTGTGGGTCGGCACCGGCGAGGCCCA